CTTAATTTTGAGATGACCCCAAAAGGAAGAAATCTAAAGGCGTCAAGTCGCGCGATCGTGGTGGCCAATTGACTTCGCTGTTTCGAGAGATGATGCGACCTGGGATCTTCTCATTCAATTTCTATTTGAACGTCCATTTTCGTAATAGGCTTCGATAATTTTAACTCATTGTTTGATTGTTAATCTTTCGATGGTTGAAATTGCTAAAGACTTATGTTGTTAAATCTGAAAGAAAAAGAAAAAAAATCGTTAGACACTTAAACTTAATTCACTTTTTAAAACCCGTCCAAGTTAGTGAAACACCCTTTATATACGGAGTGATTGAAAAGTAACCCCCACCATTCAAAAAAAAAAAAAACTATAATTTTTACACAAGAAATGGATATGAAAAGAAAGCGTTTTAGCAAGGGGTTTTATTTAAAATCCGATATGGACAGCAGATTTCTTGGGTCATCCATGAATCGAGTCAACTTATTTCACCAGAAACTCTTGTGGTATAGAAGACATAACTTCTTGGATTCGCCATTCAAGTTCTTCCAAAATCTTGGTTTGGTTTAGTAGACTTGCTCCTTTAACCAACCCCCAAAGAAAAAAGTCACAGGGTGTCAAGTCAGGATTTCAGGCTGAGCACTCATACATAAAATAAGGACTTAATTTTCAATCATTTTTATTATATATATATATAATATATATATATATATATATATATATTCTTGATATATTATTGTCTGGTTAAACATTTTTTCATAGATATATTAATGGCGACTAAACAAGTATCCCCACAGAGTTTGTCTGTCAGGAAACTATTTGGAAAAATGCGCTTTGCAGGCTTAAATGCAAGACCAAAATAAAAAGACAGTAATTTTCCAAGACCTGATGATGATTATGATATATATATATATATATATATATATATATATATATATATATATATATATATATATATCAATCTAAAATCACATATAATTTTATTAAAGCTTTTCAAAGGAGATTGAGAATTTTTTTTCTATTTGTTATTTATTTAAATAAAATTTTATTCGGATTTTAATCCACAAACCAATGTGCATTATTTTCTTTTAAACTATATATATATATATATATATATATATATATATATATATATATAGGGATATAGTTAGTTTATGAAAAACTAGGTAATCCGTATGGGTAAAATGCCTAAGGATAAAAAATCCAGAGAGCTCAATGTAAATCCAGAGCAAATAATTTAAATAAAAACAGACCAGTTTAAGATTCCATGTAATAAATTATTTCACCACAGCCCTTTTAAAAATCTTTGGATCATCAGTTAAAAGTAAAATCCAAACAAAAAATGAAAAGAAAATTTATATATTTTTGAACTAGGTAATCTAGATGGGAAAATTATTTGCTCTGGATTTACATTGAGCTTTTTGGATTTTAACCTCAATACGTTTACCCAACGGATTACCTAGTTTTTCATAACGTTTTAATTTATATATGTTTAATACGTCTTTCAAAAATGTGTAAATTTTCTTTTCATTTTTTTCTTGGAAGTAAAGTCTGATGAATCCGTAAATCCTTTTTAAATGTTATTAATAATTTATCACATGGAACCATAAAGTGGTCTGTTTTTATTTAATATATATATATATATATATATATATATATATATATATATATATTTTTATATTGTATTTAAAAAATTTTTTTTCATTAATGCAAATTGTTTATATTAAATAATATAGAAGATTTTGTCCATTTATTTTAATAATGTTCTTTTAATATTATTGATAATTATTTTCCAAAATTGAGCTTACAAAGCCATCATCAGGGATAACAAGTACATTAATAAATTAAACAATGCACGGATGTATTTTGGAAAAATGATCTTTTAAATTTTTGTTTGCATGGAAGAAAAATAACGACAAACTAAATCATATAAGATTGCTATAAAAAAGAAAATTCGGATTTTTAATTCATCGCACATGGCCACGCGAATGTACAAAAACACTTATCATTTTCATTTTCGCGTATCATTTATGTCATGGTTTCCAATTTTTTATATTCCTTTGTATCAACTATCGTCTAAGTGTCTATAGATTTTAATAAAAAATTTATTTTATCGGCATTTTTGAGATTCGTTTCCAAATGTTAGTCGAACTCTCTGCCTTAGGCAAGGAAATCCATACGATTATGTTGAAAAGGGAAGAGTTTTCTGGAGTGGTAAAAAGCTACCTGAAATAATAACTATTTAAAGATTCTAGAGAATTTTGTTTACCGAGCCAAATTTATAATCGGTTTTAATAATATTAGATAACGGCAATTTTATTAAGAATCCTGCCTCGCGATATTTATGGGATATTGGTAAAACAACCTTGCTTTTAGTTATAAATATAAAAAAATCTTTTTTTAACGCGAACATAGATCCTTATTTTCCGTAAAATGATTATTTTTTTATTTCATAAATATATATAACATATATATATATATATATAAAATTAATATCTCTATGTATGTGTGTGTGTGTGTGTGTGTGTGTGTGTGTGTGTGTGTGTGTAACGAATGCACGGCCGCAATTTTCGACAGATTTGCACCAAAATTTACATGCACATGCTCCAAGTTAGCGGGAAGGCCAAGACCGACTTTGCATTTCCCAACTCCCATCGATAGTGGAAATAATCGATTTTTTCATGCTTCTACGGCAGTTTTCATGTAGTTTGCGGCCATTTTGTACTGGCCAGAGTGAGAGCCTATAGCTGGCTGCCACGAATAGGCAGGAAGATTCTATTGGCCAGCGTGAGAGCCAACAGCTGACTGACACGAATGTTAACTAGCATGCTAGCATGCAAAAAAATCGATAGCTGCATTCGTCACAAGTGGGAAAAATTTAAATCTGCATGGCACTTTACTCCAATTGGCTCATTCGCTTGCTTAAACTCAATGTTGATTCTGATTCCGCAGAACTGGATTGAGTGTGAAAAAGTATTTGTTGTTAACATTCTTTTTCATTTGTTTTTTTTTTTTCCAGTTTTTAAAGCTGATCGTTTTGTGTTCATTTTGTTTAGTTCTTTTTTCGTAACAGATTTAATGTTTAGTATAGAGCTTAGAAAAAATTCGCAGTGTGAGATAGGCAAGAAGTAAGGCATGTAGCAACATCAGCACGGCAAAGGGCACTTTTTAAAGGCAAGGAAGGGCAAAAATATTTTAAGTCAAGTGATAGCGATTGCTGTATGAGTCGTACGATTTTGAATCAAGCACGGGCAACGATCCATACCTGCCATAAAATAAGTAAAAGAAGAATTATCGTTGAACCTTTAAAAGATGAAGCTTAAACATTAATTCAGTAAAAAAATTTATTTCAATTTTGAGTTCTCTGACCTCCTTTATTGATGTCTATGCATTCACCTACTCCTTAAAAGCTAATGTGATGATTTAAACTAATCATCCTCCACAGGTGTTAAGAAATTTAAATGCCGGCCCCTAAAAATTTTTAAGCTAGTTTATAATGAAAAAAATGAATGCAATTTTGGATACAAAAAAAAATAACAGTTACTTCCTTAAAGCATTTCAAAAGCAACGATAATGGCTATTATTATCTATTAATATATATATATATTTTCGGATAAAGAAACCCTGAATCTTAGCTTTCACGAAAATCGTTCCCTGTTAACTTTTTTGATAAAACTTTTAACGAGCTATGAATCATTGAAATCGGGCCAGTTACGCGGAAGAGTTGCTTAAACACACAAAGACAAACAGACAAGCATTTTGTCTATTTATATATATTTTTAATTATAGATTTTTAGACTTAATTGGTTGCAAATCGGTCTAGGAAAAGGAAAATCTGAATTCAAAAACTCCAACTATTAACAATTGAATTTTGGTCTCTGTAGCAATTTATTGTTATTCATTAATATTTTTCTGAAGGAAAACCATCTTCAAACGAATTTCTGATTTCTTGAAAAAAATTTATAGAGTTTTGATGAAGGATAACATTGAATTCAAACCATATGTAACGTTGGTTCAGGACATACTAAGCAGCTAAATCAATGCAAATTCCAAAATCCAAAACCTTCGTTTATATATATATATATATAATATATATATATATATATATATATATATATATTATATATTATTTTTATCATTTTAAAATTTATATCTATAAATGTTTGGGAAAATTTAATTTTCATCCTTTTTCTTTTTACCATAAACGAAATTTCATTTAATTATTAAATTTTTTTTGAATCTGTTTCATCTTCAGACGAAATTTTAAATTTTTTGATTTCAAAATTCGTTTTTCTTTAAGTTTAAAAAAAATTTAATTATATAATTTTTCTGAAGAAGAGTTCGGTTTTTAAAATTTCTAATTTCATTGTAGTTTAGAAAAAAATATTTTAAATCAAATTAAATTTATAATATTTATCTGTCTTAAATTTACATCGAGCACTGTTTTTTTTCCCTCTCTAAAAATATCAATAAGACCATCGCTTATATATCTTACTGTTCTTTTTTTTATATATATATATATATATATATATATATATATATATATAAAAGTGAACATAGAAGTCAACATATTTTATATGACAGTCTGTTTCATGCTAGATGCAATCGTCAGGCTACCATTTTATATATATATATATATATATATATATGCAAAGTATATACTATGCAACGAAAGAAAGGATTATTTAAACTTTATCCCATATATATATATATATATATATATATATATATATATATTTGGAAATAATATAGATATATATCAATGGCTATGGAATAAATTCAAAAATTTCTTTTTAGTATCATTTTTATATATCTGTATATCTCTCTCTTTCTCTCACACACTTTCTCTCTCTTTCTCTCTCTCTTTCTCTCTCAAAGAAGAATCAACTTTCAGAAAATTCTTCTCTCTCAAATCTCTATCTCTATATCTCTCTTAAATCTCTCTTAATATTCTCTCTCTTCTCTCTCTCTCTCTCTCTTTTCTCTCTCTCTTTTTCCATAACTTTTTAAGC